CATTATTGAACCAATGATCTGTCATTTCTTTCACAAAACCTTCTTTTATAATACAAAAATAGTTCACGTTGACAATCACTTACTGGATTTCTTGGGGGGCAGGTATATCCTAGAATAATTTGAGATTTGTTTAACATAATTATATAAAGGAATATTATGTAAGGACTAACAGAGGGGGTCATGATGTCACCCTCCAGTGAAATGCAAACATTTTAATAGAAAAATACGCAAACAATAAAGAATATAAAGAGATTTGTTTCAGTTCAGATTGCCATGCTTTGGAATGTAATAAGTTCTGAAAAAACTACTGCATTTTTTGGATCTTCTTTCAACTTGGAATTGCATAGAAGGGATTGTGTCCTTAAACATATTCAGCCACTTGTTTTGTTTTCTGAAGATTCGTGAAAATCATCCTTTTTTTGCTTCGGGACCTCTATTGCCTTCCTTACTTTTGCCATATTTTCTTTTGCCAACTTTGGCTATGTTTGCCATGCCCTAATATTCTGAAACACTCTGCTTTTCTAGCAACCTTCCCAGAACAGAGAAATAAATTATCTTACATAATTGAAACAAAGAAGAGGTATTGAGATAGGACTAGCCCATCATCCACTATCTTGAAAGAAGAAACCAAAAAACAAAAAAAATCCTATTTTAAAGTAATCTAACACCAAATCTGCTGTCCTTGGCTTTCTTCCTCGTGCTCTCAATTATATCACATCCCACACAACAACTAGCCTATGTGCTTATTGTTAAGGTGATGGTACAGGTTCTCTGCTCTTATAAAGTCAGTTTCTATGGCAGAGGTGCTGTGTTTGGAATCTCCTTAGCACACTCTCTAAAGCCATGAGGTTGGTAGTGTTGTGACCCCGTTATCCAGACTGTGAAACGCAAGTTGAGAAAATCTAGATACATTTTTTGCCAACATTGTGCTGCAATCTAGCTGTCAATCTAGAATATTAACCCAGGCCTGTGTAACTCCAAATATCATACTTTCACCTGCTATCCTTTGTTGTACTTTTCCCTTCCATTGTTGGCTGACCATATGCCCAGACTCAAGTTCAGACTCAAGTTCAGACAAAACGTGGTGGATTTGTCTAAGCCAACTTACGCTAGTGACTCGAGAGTACAATCTGGCTGGAGCAAAGCATCGCATAGTATTTTCACCCCATCACTCTTCAGTGGATTGTTGGATAAGGTCAACTTTTTCAGCTTCTTGCTGCTGATGAGGAGCGAGGAGATTTTTTCACATGTGCTAGCTTGCAGATTGCATTTTATCAAGCTGTAAGAAGAATTTATATAGATAAAATGAGGCTGAGCAGTTTTTGAAGCTGCCCCTCCTTAAATAAAATCGGCCCCAAACAAGAGGAGAACTACTTAAAATGGAAAATAAATGGATTTCTCTGCTTGTATTCTTGTCCTACAGCAGTTATCAGAGTTAAAATTTGGGTAAGTTTGCAGATTCAAGAAGGGATGTAAGTAGACAGTCCTTTGCCCTTCTGCATCCATCTGCACACAGCATCCACTGTGATGTTTCATCACTGTAAGTCAGGTATCAAGCAACTCATCTGATCAAGTGATGTGTGTGTACTATCACATTCACAAAACTGATCAAGGCAGTCAATTTACCATCACTTTCACAATGATGTCCTGCATGGTCTGGCTCTTGACTCCTTCCCTGACTTTGTCTTCTAACTTTGCACTCACTGTTCACTCTGTACAAGCCTTCCTGATCTCCACCCTCCCTCTCCTGCAGGTCCACCAAGCTCATGCTTGCTTTTAGTGCCTCTGCTTTCACCCTCAACTCTGCTTAATGATCTTTCCCCAGATAACTGTATGGTTGGCTCTCTCACTTCCTTCAGCTTGTTACTCAAAGTTTACTTCTTTAATGATGTCTTTGCTAACCATCCCTCAATCAACTAACACGTATTGTGCATCATACTTCAAGCATTGTGGTAGGTTCCTGGGGTACAACAGAGAACTAGAAGAAATGTGATGGTATTCTAGTGGGTGTAAATAACGCAAAAACTGAATATGTAATGTGCCTAGTAGATGATTAATTCTATAAGAAAAAATAAATCAGAGTAAATTGTAGAGAAAGAAAAGAAGGTGCTCTACTTCTGCAGGGAGCAGTCAGTAAGAGAAGTTCTAGCTAATAAGGTGGCATTTGAGCAGAAACCCAAGAGAGATAAGAAAAAATAAATCAGAGTAAATTGTAGAGAAAGAAAAGAAGGTGCTCTACCTCTGCATGGAGCAGTCAGTAAGAGAAGTTCTAGCTAATAAGGTGGCATTTGAGCAGAAACCCAAGAGAGAAGAGGGCAAGCTCTGAATCTGTTTGAAAAGAGAATTTCTGGCAGAGGAAATGAATGTAAAGGGTCTGAATCAGGAGTTGACTTGTTGTTCCAAAGACCTGCAACAAGCACAGTGTGGCCACAGCATGACACATGAACAGGAGATGTGTAGAAGACAGGTCTGGGGTTAGCCAGGGCCACCTGTGGTGAAGTGATGTATTTTATTTTAAATAAAAGTAGAAGCCACTGAGGATTTGAAGATCAGAGGACAGAAGAGTGACGAGATCTGGCTTAAATTGAAAAGTAGATGAAAGTTATCCATCTATGCTCTCTTTTCCATGTAGCAGGTGAAGGTGGAAACAGGGAGAACAGGTAGGAAGATGCTGAAATAGTTCAGGAGAGAGATGGTGGCTTGGTCTACCATGCTCAGCAGCAAAGAGCAGAAAGTAGTCACATAGGTCTATTCTAATGATAGAACTGACTAACTTGTCTAAACCAAGCCACTAGAAAAATCCTATATTTGAAATGCCTATTAAATATCAATAGAGATATGTTTAGAAGTTCATTGAATGTGAGTCTGAAGCCAGGAGAAATATATGTTTGTAAATATTCATCTGAATTGTATGGGGAGAAAGCAGAACAGTGATTAACAGAGGCCGAGGAAGAGAGAGAGGAAGGGAAAACAGGGA